TTTTTTTTTATACACGTGTTTGATAATTTGAATAATATTTAATTGATGCTAATATTATTATGAATTATAAAATATTCTATACAATTTATATTTTTATATTCGTTAACTGCTTATATTTTATCATTTCCTGGAACATTTTAGATTATAGAAATATCAAAGTTATACAATTACCACATCAACAAAATTCAATAAATGTGTAAAACAAATTAAATTGAAACCATAAATTACGCAACAAAAAATAAGTACACTGGTATTCCTAATTTGAATAGTTTTTTTTAAATTCTTCGGATTCAATACTGTTATTTTTAATTTCTTTTATCAGATCTGTTAGCAAGGGCTGTAAATTTAATATTACAAAAAGTCCAAAATAAAATCAGAACTATAAAAAGTAACTACTTAGTAGGTACGTACAAAACTTTTATTCTTATTTTTATAAGAATCATAATTTGTTGTTGGGTACAATTTTTGAATTAACTTAGACAATTTTAAACTAACTATTTAAAAAAAAAAATTTCGTTTGTACGAAAAATACAATTTCCACATAAATAATTCAAGAATCATAGAATATGTAGTTTCAAATATGTATTACAAATTGAAATATGAAGAAACTGCAGGCTTAAATATAACTTCTGATGGGATCATGATTAGGTTCAACCGAAACGATAATTTATATCATAATACTAACTGAAATCTACCAAACAAAATACGTTAGTCTAAATAAATGATACTTCAATGTAAATAATTTTACTGAGAATAAACATAAAATTTCATTAACAAGGTATAACAAAAAATCTAAGTGAGATGGCCAAATATATTWAAYACGATYCCAAACCTAATTTTTTTGAATTCATATCCTTATAAAAATAAATAAGTGGGAWAATAGAGAGATATGAGTAAGAGTTTAAAAAACCCAAACAACTTTTCACCAGAGCTTAGAATCTCTTAAAATCCAAGCTTCTCAGAGTGCTAACAAATTCATTTTTGATTTATAAAAATGTATTTATTGTAAATTTTAAAGATTTTACTTTTAATATAAAATACCTACTCTATTTATTTTATTTGACTGTTGTATYCTGTATATTTATTTATTGATAGGCTGGCAAATTAGCTTAATTATAAATAGAATAAATTACAAACACATTACCCAAAAATTATTTTCTCACTAAAATTCCGTAATTTACTGTACAATTTTAATTAACTATATCAGATATGAAATCGAATTTAGCATAAAAATTTCAAAAGAAATAAACAATAACTATTTCATATTTCACTACAACGCACTYACCTCTTCAAAAGAGTATTCTAGTACTGATGATTTCATAAACTTGTTGCTGGTTTGAGTTAATGCTGAATACGGATGATATTGAGTTTCAGAAAGATAGGTTTTGGCTTTACGGTTCCAATTATTACACTCAGCAACAGTGTTCTCTGTCATACTATATCCTGGTGACAAAATAAACAATGTTAGCTTCATAAATACATTATACTTTTAGCAATMATTTTTGTTACTTGGAGAACATCTACAAAGACCATGGCCAGAACAATAGCTAGAGCTAGAACTTCTTTTAGCCATAGCAGCTAGTTGTTCTTCTTGGTCCACAGCCGCTTTGATGACGG